GCTCTACAGGTTGGTGCCTGAAGGACTCTTGGACCTCTAAGGCTTTGGCTCCAAGATCAACTGGAACACACCTGTTAGAGGCTATGCACATTGACCGGCCATAGACCCTGTTTCTGGACCTTCCACGAGGCTCCTTTCCACTTAGTCCCTACATATCCCTTGGTTTATGAGAGACACATGAATGAACTATCCTCTCTCACTCACAGGGCACACACCCTTTGACTTTGTCCCTGTTGAGAAGTGATGGCTAGGTCTGTAGAAGGTTAGGCCACTTCCCTAGACTATTAATTAATCAGCCCCTCTCTAGAGGCTGAGTTGTAAACCTGTCAGGAGTTCTCTGGGCTGCCGCATCTCTGTCCCTAGTCCTGTTCACAATTCCTCACGATGTGGCATTTTCTGTAAGAATCCCTAAGCGTCCTCTTGCATACTGTTTACCCATCTCCATATCCATTAAGGCAGATAGACGTTCCACAGACTCAGCTTGGCACTTGTTCCTTGGACTTCCTCTAAGCACATCTCATCCCCCAGACACCGAGCCATTTGTCATCTCCCTGACCTCTCCTGATCACTTTTGAACATTCTATTGTATATTGAGCTGGAAAATGCTGAGATTTAGTATAACTTGAATTCCTTAGGTAAATGACATTTCTCAAAGGTGTTCAATTGAAGACTGGCCATATCATCTATATTTGGTCATTTGGGAACTCCAGTCTGTGTCAGGGAAAGACCAGTGTATTTACTCTGTGGGACGGATCATTTGAGTCCACCGTGATTCTGCCTACCTTCTTGTCAACCTTGATTTAGTTTCCTTTACTTTTAAAGACACAGCCTACAATGATGCCCCCTTTTAGTCAACAAATTTGTAGTGTCTCCTAATTACTCTGAATAAAAATTCATATAATCTGAATAAAATTCACAGACACTGACACCTACCTATATATACATAAACGTTTGTCTATTTTCTCAGTGCTGGAGATCAAACTCAGGGCAGCACACACACACACACACACACACACACACACACACACACACTAAAAAACAAGTGTTCAACCATTGAGCTACACCACCAGCCCTTGTTTTGTTATTATTGATTTTATTTGTGTTTCTTTTCTTCTTCTCCCTTTCCCTCTTCCCCATGCCCGTGTGTGTGTGTGTGTGTGTGTGTGTGTGTGTGTGTGTGTGTGTGTGTGTGTGTGTGTGTGTGTGTTTGGGGGTACTGGATCTTGGTCCCAGTACTGCTGAGTTATATCCCAAGCCCTTAGCAGCATATTTATTTTTAAAGCAGGGTCTCACTAAGTTGACCAGGCTTGCCTTAAACTCACTTTGAAGCCCAGTAAGGTTTGATGCTTGTATCCTTCCTTCCTCAGCCTCCCCAGTGGCTGGGTTACAGGCGCGAGTCACCACACCAGGCTTTTTGGGGTTTTGTTTTGTTTTGTTTTTGAGAGATGGTCTTGATTAGCTCAGGCTAGCCTGGAACTGTTGCCCAGGCTGGCCTGAAACTCTCTGATGTCTCTAGCCTTTGCCTCCCAAGTGCTGAGGTTACAGGCAGGGCAACCATATATGTTGTGCTGAGATTACAGGCAGGTGCAACCACACATGTTGTCTCTACATTATTTTTTTACAGTCAGTATAAAAGGTCGACTCTAATCTTAAAGAAAAACAAAGGAAGAAATTAATTATCCTATGATGTCATATATTTAGTGTGTAATTGCTTTGGCATAACCACCTGGAAGTCAGAGGCTAAAATCTTTGCACAGTAACCACTGAGAATGGGAGGACCAGAAATGAGATACAGGTGTGTGTAGTGGGTGACTCAGCATACTAGGGAAGCTGCTACTGAGGACTGATGTCACTCTCCAAAATGATGAACTTTTCTTGCTCATGTTCCAAAGAATGTTAAGTAAGACATCCTTTCAATTTACATGTTAATGGCATTCCTGGCCGATGCGGCACCCAGCAAAGCCACTCTAAAACTGGGCTGGATGGCATACACCGGTGATCCCAGCACTTAATAGTCTGTGGGAAGAGGATTTCTACTGGGATACATACTGAGACTCTGTCTCAACCAAACCAAAATAAAACAACAAAAACCATGCAAAAGGGACTGAGAATCTGTCTCTGTGATCCTGTGCTTGTCTCCTATAATAAGGTCCTCGGTTCAAGTCCCAGCACCTCAGAACAAATATAATTATAATAATAATTTAGAGTGTTCCTTTCCTTCGAACACTCTGAAGTCATGTAGGCATTGAAGAATTGTGGCCAGGGTTCAGGGCTGTACATAAAAAAACAAATGTTCAACCACAGCGTTACATCCTCAGTCTTTGTTATTATTGGTGTCTTCTCATAACCTATAGGACCTACTCTGCTGTTGACAGTTGCCCTCTAACCCTCTCTCCTGGGGAGGAAGAGCCAAGGACCAGGCACTGACTGCTTGGGTTCTAGGTCTAGCTTATAGTAGCACAGTATTTGCATAACCTTATATAGGTTACACTGGATTCCACATGTCTGGGTGCCCTTCTGTCAAGAAGATTCAAGCAATATACATGTGCTGAGGATATAGTGGTAAGTTCTGCTTAGCATACAAGAAGCCCTGGTTTCGTCTCCAGTACTGCTACTACTACAACTACTACTATTACTACTACTACTAACAGCAACAACAGTAATAACTAAAGATAAAGTGGCACGTGTGTCCTGCCTACTCTGAGATTGGAGCTTACTATGCTTTCTTTACAGACAGACACTCAGGCCAGTCCAGAACATCTGTGTGGACCCCACAGGCTGCATCCCATTCACAGACCCTCCCTCGCTGTGATTTCCTTCTAACGCTCAAACACCCTTAGACTTATCTTCAAAAGGAGAAGGAGGGGGGGAGAAAAAGAAGGAAGGAGAAAGGGGAGGAGAGATGGGCTAGAGGAAGGGAGGGGCGAGAAGGACGAAGGGGGCACCTTCTCTTGTCTGCTTCAGCAGCTTCTTCTGCTTCGGGGCTGATTTCTCAAGTCTTCAGGGCGTCCCTGTGCAGCCCAGTGGCCGTTCTCACAGCCACACCTCTCTAAAAGTCACCAGTCTTTGTGCTGCTGAGGTTTTGTCATCCCCCATACAACTTCCCTCTGCAGCTGGCCTGGCCTCTGGCATTCTCCTGCCTCCACCTCCCCGGCATCCCAGTGGCCTTTTCTTGAGTATTCTGTTTTCCTGTGTCACCCTCTGCTAGCCTCAGATGTCACCTTCCTTCCGAGCATGCTCCATTCTGTCCAGGTCCCAAGGCCACATCCAGCCTCAAGCTGGCTGTCCTCTGGCATTTCAAACACAAACAGCATCCGAAACACAGCTTCTGCGGGTCCCCAGAGCCTCACCTCTTCTTATATCCTCTTCTCTCTCTCCAGGGCCAGGGGGAATGACACCACCATAGCCAGGGGCAGAGTTTGGGTGTATCTTCAACTCCTCCCAGTTAATTACTCATGAGTCCTGTCAGCCATCTCTCATGGTGGTTCTGCACTGATGTGGGTTGGGTTTCTTAATAGTCTAACTAATTGTGTTGGTTGCTCAGTCCTCATTAGCATTTGGGGTCGCAATTCCTGATTTACTATTAGGCTTGATTAATTTTTGGAGGCCTTCAGAATGATTATCCTGTCTCTCGTCATGCTGGGGATGAAAACCTGGACTTTAAAATCCTGGATAGCTTCTGCCACCGAGCCCACCCCCAACCCCAGTGGTTAAATAATTTTCTCTGGTGTCCTATGTATGTATGAATGTGCCTGATAAAGTGTCAAGATGCTTGGCCTGAGCTAGGGCATCTGAGCTAGGGTCTTTGCATATACAGATCTGGTGGAACAAATAGGCACTGAGTGGTTGTTTAATGGACATATCAATGAATGCATGAATAAAGGATGAACTTAAAAGGTCCCGCTACTACAATGAAAAGCAATGTAAGGGAACACATTTTCTTTTTGGTTTTCTGGGCTTGCTATATTGCACCCTCAGCCCTCCAAGATTTTGTTTTAAAAATAGCTAGTGGGCTATAGAGATGGCTCAGTGGTTAAGAGCACTGGTTGCTCTCCCAGAGGTCCTGAGTTCAATTCCCAGCAACCACATGGTGGCTTGCAACCATATAAAATGGGATCCGATGCCCTCTTTTGGCATATAGGCATACAGGCAGACAGAGCACGTATACATTAAAAACAAACAAACAAACCAACAAACAAAACTGCCAGGTTCCCTGTTGTGCTTCAGCATTCCTGCCCAGCCTGTTAGCATTCAGTGGTCTTTGAATTTGATATGCATATCAGGGTTTCTGCATTACTAAGTGAACACATCTGTGTGATGGGCAATTTGCTCCATCTCCTGCTGCACTCCCGTGAGCCTCTTTAGAGACCGTACCATCTGGCTGTGGCCATACAGAGCTGGGCAGTGAACCTCAGGAGGGGATAGTGCCTGAGATGTGTGGGAGGGTTTTTAAGAATTGGGTGGAGGGGAATGGTAGAGGGGGTTGGAAACGGAGAATCTGCCCTAGGAAGCCGAGTGAGACCTCCAAAGGGAGAAATGTGGCTCAGAGGCCTAAGTGTAAATGAGACTAGCAAGTTTTTGAAACTTCAAAAGCTCCGGTTTTAACCAGAATCCTGACTCACTTTTAGGGGCTTATGGGTAATAGTAAATTACATGTAGGGATAGTCGCGAACGTTTAACCCTGTCTTCCGGCTTTAGAACACAGAACACCTGATCCTGGGAAGAGGAAGGAATAACGTGTCGGAGGAGCAGGGTGAGGGAGGGGAAGAATGTGCTTGTGAGGGACACTGGCAGATGACTGACGTCCCAGGGTGGAGTTCTGGTGGTGTCTGGAGAGGCTCTTGCTCTTCCTTCTTCCTGCTTTGCTCTCACGTCTGTTTTGCTCAGATTCACAACCAGCCAGAGTGTGTTTACGGTATTCCTGATTAGCCCAATGGGTCACAGGTATTCCTAATTAGCCCATTGGGTCACAGAGTTCAAATCTCTCTACACCTTAGTGGGTCATTTGGAAGGCATGGCTCACGTGGAAGAGCCTGGCCCACTGAGTCACGGCTTCTCCACACCTGTTTTCCTGGTCCTTCTCCCGTCAGTAGAAGCTGGTTTGTCATTCCTGCAGATGACATAGGCAGCAGCTCAGATTTATTGCACACGGTGGGGTATTAAAGGAACCCTGGGGCCCTCTCATTAGCTTTCTACTGCTTACCAAAACAAGGCTTGAACCTGCTGAAAGGTAAGAGGCCTATGAATTGTTGATATGTTGAGCTCATTGCATAGTTCAACCAGCGCTGTCCTGGGACCCTAGAGAATGGGTGCCTGTAGGACTTTGGGGGCAGGATCGTGGTAGGCTCTTTCCACAGAGAGTGATTTCTTGTTCTTTTTTGTCCGAGATAGTAATCTTTGAGTATGCGATAAAGGACACGTGGTGAACTAAGATGAGAGACGGGTATTCCAGGTGGAGAAGGAGGTAGGATCTGAGCAGAGACCCCAAGAGGCTAGACTATGTGTTGGAGGGACAGCCAGCTATGGACAGCCCTGGTAAGGCCTGGCTGGTGTACGAGACAGGACCTAATGCTTTTTACTCTGTTCAACAAAATCCTATTAAGTACTTGGATCACGCTAGGTATTTTAAAAAGTAGCTTCTGGGGCCATTTAAATGGCTCCATGAGTAAAGGCATTTGCCACCAAGCCTGATGACCTGTGTTCAGTCCCAAGGAGCCAGATGGTGGAGGATAGAACCGACTCCTGTTTATCGTATTTTAAATCATTTCGTCCTGTTGTCTTTGCATGAATACTGTGTATTCACGCCTTTCACGTTTTCTGGTCACTTCTCTTGTCAGCTCAGGCCACCACTTGTGCTGTGCCATTTCCAGGAGGATAGGATGTGCCTGCTAGGCAGTGTTGGGGTCTCCTGGCCCCTCTATTCCAGCATCCATCTCTGCTTCCCCACCCAGGTTTCCCACATACGCTCACTTTAAGTATGGACCCTGGACATCCCCCCCTCCCCCAGTGGAACAGAGAATCTGTAGCCACACTGCTGGTGTTGCCCTGGTACCGCGACCTAGACAAAGTTTCCTATAGCCACTCTGGGTCTCTTTTTATACAGGATTGTCAATGACAGTCCCTAAGTCACAGTGAGTTAGTACATGGCAAATCCTTGGACCAATGTCCATCACATGTGCTTTGTGGAAGTCAGCTATCCTTACTGCTAGTTCTTTTTCTTTAATTGAGTGTGTGGGGGTCTCCTCAGTTTATCCTTACTTCCTTCTGTCTTCAGGAGGTCTTTGTGACCCCTCCTTGTTTCCTGGTGATGTACTGGTTTAACTGTTTCTAGAAAACGTCTTATCTGTTGTGCCCAGGGCCAGGAGGAGGTAGATGCATATCCTTGGCCTCCAGCTCTTCCACTGGTTATTTTCTCCTTGTGTACATGTGTGTAGTTGTTAATCTATAACATCATGGAGGTATACAGTGTCACATGCTTACCCACCAGCCTGACCCGGGGCAGGACTTGTCACTGGGTCCGAGTCACCCAGCACTACTGTGCTGCCGGCAGGGCTAGGTGATGAGTTCTTTTTTTTTTTTTTCCAGCCTCCTCGGGCTGGCTTGAGGCTGCCTTAATGAATGTAATGGGTCCTCTGTTTCCTTTGTCAAAAGGAATGTTAATTATTTTCAGCAGTCTAATTATGTGGCTAATGAGAGGCTGACTGAGATAACATTGCCTTTAATTACTCTTGCCTAACTGCTGTTTGGAGCCATAATTTGAGTGTGTTGCAAGGCTGGGTGCTTGCTCAGTAGATGGAGCTGTCCAGCAAGAGGCTGAGGGAGGGGCCAGGACTGCTGAGCTCATGGCTCTTGATGATGGTGCCTGAGGTGGCTGGCGTCTGCTTTGCCAAGTGTCTGACAGCCTTTCCTGTGTGTCGCCACTTGAAGGAGATGGGCCAGACAGAATCAGGTGGAGAGCAGACAGCAGTTCCACAGATGGACCATCGTTCTCCGGTCCATACCTGGCACCCCAGGATACCTGCCCTTCAGGCTGCTCTTGGCCAAAGTTCCTCATTCTTGGAGCACTCGAACCCTGCCTTCCCTCTGGGTTGACAGGTAGATACTCTATGTCAAGTGCTGTCTAGAACATGGGGATGCAAAGATCAGGAGCCTGTGGGCCAGAGAGCTTCCTAAAATAAATTTGCATTACACCCTTTCCCTCTTTACCCAGGAGCAATGGCATGCCCTGTCTTCCTTCTGACCCCTACCGCCATCACAGATTTATCTTCCATGGTGCTGCCTTCCTGTGGTTATGGAATGGTTCCTCCCAAGCCTTGTTTGGCAGGCCCTTGGAAGGTGGCTCTCCTGGGCATATAGGTGGTCTCTGAGAGCCCATTGAGATTGTCTTCCATGAGGAACTGTTGTCAACTATAAATGGCCCATTGCTATAGGCAAATCAAGTACTCCTAGACCCTCCCCTTAGATCTCCATCTCCATGAGTGGTGTGTATGTGTGCGGGTGTGCGGTAGATACTAGTAGAAACAACTTTTTAGCTATAGACATAAGTGAGTTTCTTAACTTCTTTGAGCTTCATCTTCCTAAATCAGTTAAAGTCTATGTGTGTTTCCTAGACTTATATACAGTCAGATGGGATGGGCTGTCAGAAACTGTCTGGCACAGAGCAGTACCCATAGACTGAATTATAGCCAGGGACCCAAGGGCTGGCCTCATTCATCAACAGCCATGACTCTCTTGAATAAAAATCACTCTTCAAACCTGGGAGGTGGTAGCGTATGCCTTTAGTCCCAGCACTCAGGAGGCAGAGGCACGTGGATCTCTGTGATTTTGAGACCAGCCTGGTCTACAGAGTGAGTTCCAGGACAGTCAGGGCTACACAGAAAAACCCTGTGTCAAAAAAACTGAACAAACAAAAAGAAGTCTTTCTCCAGACAGTAGATTTTGACTTCTGTGGAAGGTTAACCTTCCTTTCATTTTAAATGGTAGCTTTGGCCATCTAGACCTGTTTCCAGAGAATGCAGGCATCTGTTCAGAAGGTCAGGATTCCCAGGATCAAGGGAATGGAACTCAGTGTTAGCAAATCTAAAGCAGTGCTATCCAGTGACATTTCCCAGGACAGTGGAAATATTCCACATCTGCTGTCCAATGTGGCAGACAAGGGCCACATATAGTTTTGAATACTTGCAATGTGCCTAGTTCATCTGAGAGCTTGATTTTTCAATTTCATGCACTTTTACTTATTAACACTTAAATAACCTCCTGTGTCTGGTGACTGTCCAATCGGACAGTATGCTTTTGGAAGGTTTAGAAAAATTGAATTTGTGCACCTCCTGATCTTGACTTACACCTTGTCTCTGGTCCCCATGTGTGCCGTTTCCAAGGGATGGCTAAGGTTTGCTAGGTTGCTGGCATGGGGAAGGTAAATTTTCCTCTCTGGCAATTGAGGTCCAGACAATGACCAGAAGGGAGATTTCAAATGTTTAAAGTCATAGCTGTCATGCTCAAATTGACTCACCATGTTTCTGTCTGTAAGGAGCAGAGCTGCTGTGGTTGGAGCACTGTAGGTGGACATGTGAATGTGCGAGCCTCATGCCTGTCTTAGGATTTTCTTGATTGACAGTAACAGAAAACTCATCATATTAACTGGATAAGAAGGAATATTCAATAGTCAAGCGGTGGTGGCAACACACCTTAAATTTCAGCACTTGGGAGGCAGAGGCAGGTGGAACGCAATGAGTCTGAGGCTAACCTGGTCTACAAAGTACAAAGCAAGTTTGAGGACATTCAGGACTACACAGAGAAACCCTGTCTCAGGGTGGGTTGGGGGAGGCAGCAAGTACTTTTCCGTTAAAATGAACTATTAGATTAGATATAATATTGTGGGGTATGGTAAGGCTACTTAAATTCTTCTGATTACAGGCAGATGGATGTTTAGACCATCAGTCAAAGAATTTCATTTTGTCTTTACTTATCAAACCAGTTGTTAAATTGTGGCTGACAAGGAACCAGTCCCTGACTGAAAGGAGCGTTTCTAGCTGGTGGACCTCTGCTTGGCTGGTAGGAGTTTTACTTGGCTGAACTGGCACTTTACAGAACACTGGGTACCTTGCAACAGGGGGTGGTGGGAATTTCTGTGGGGTGAGGGACAAAGAGCATTGTCTTATTCACACCTGAGTGCAAATAAGTGCCTGATCTACAGAGACCTTGAATAACAGGACTTCTTGGGCTAGGTAGAAATCTCTGGGGTGCTTAGTTATGGAAGGAGGCCTCCAGTGCCACACTGCTGGGCCAGCCTAGCTGTGATTTAAACAAACAAACAAACACAAAACCGGCTTCTACTTTCTGAGGGGACTCTGTTGTTCCAGAAGACCTGAAGTATGCTCTAAGACATAGACAGTGATGGGGGGCGGGCAGCAGACAAGTTCCTGGGCACTCTATAGGGTAAAGTCAGTATTTCCTCCTCTCATGGCTGACAGGGGTTGGCTTGCTAGTGTCATGTGACCTGTTGGGATCTGCACTGGGGGGATTATGGATGAAGGGGGCTGTGGAGGAGATGCTTTACTGTAATGCATGCCTAGCTCTGGGACAGCAGCCAGGCGGCTAATTAGAAAGCTCAGCAGCTGTCCAGCTTTTCAGGCAGCAGGCAGGAGCTACCAGGTGCCAGTGAGCATTGTGGGAGGGAAAGGAAAGAGGCTGTGTGTGTGTCAGGGGGTGTCAAAGACCACACTCCCAGGTGTGCCCGCTAGACAATTTCTTAGAGAGGAGCTTGCAAGGGGCTCAATAAGGTAGAACGGACTAGATGAGGAGGGATGAGAGAGGACAGACCGGAGGCAGGACAAGGAGTCCTTAAGCTAAAGAGCAGATGGGGGTGAGATGAGAAGCAGGCAGGGATATCCAGAGTCCAAGCCCAGAGCAAGGAGCCACGTGGAAGGCCAAAACTGAGTGCGCTGTGGGGACAGCTGCCATGTCCATGCCTGTGCCTCCTATTCCCATCCCCGGGGATAATGATACACTGCCCACCCCTTAGGGTCCTCGGACTCCAGTTGTGTTGGTAGCTTTGAGTGGTCACTCTGTGGCTTGGGAACCTGCAAAATCCGAAGCCTTCAGGGCTGGTCTCACTATAGAATAAGCTCACACAGTTGAATGAGTGCCCCCTTGGTCACACTTGAGTTTTCACTAATGAAATGTCTAGGGTGGCGCCCTAGCTAGGATGGAGCCAATCATCAAAACACCTCATGATGGAGAGATTAGAGGGGTGGAACTTCTAGCCCTAGCAGTCAACCTCCCAGAGTATAAAAACTCTTGACAACCCGTCGACATTGGCTGTGTTCCCAGTTGCTAAGAGGGTGCTGGGAGTGCAAACCCACCGCCTTTGCCTTTACCTTGCCCCACTTGTACGGTTGCCCCGGTCAAGGTAGGTGTTTCTGTGAGTTCTATGAAGCATCCTAGCAAAGGAAGCTGGTGGAAACAGGGCCTAGAAGCACTGGTTTGTGGTCAGAAGAAGTGTCGGTGAAAACTGTGATTGGCATTTGAGGTGAGGCAGCCATATGGGGGTGAGCCCTCAACTTTGTGAGATCTGGCATTATCTCAGGGTATAATGTCAGAGTAAAAATAAACTGTTAGGGTAAGTAGTGGGTATCTGCTGAGGAATCTCTCTCTCTGGGGGGATCCTCCACAACTGATTAGGGAAGTACTCTGTATTGATGTGAGGGTGTTTGTTTTGATAAACCATCGATTTTTCTTTATCAGTGGGCTTCTTGTTGTTTTGTTGTTTTTGTTTTTAAACAATGTTTTATGTAGAACTTGAGACGTAGCTAAAGCTCACCTTGGACTCCTGATCCTCCTGCCTCAACCTCCTGAGTGCTGGGATTAGAGGCAAATGCCAAGCCCAGTTTGATTATTTGATCTTTCCTTTTTTTTTTTTTTCTGGGAGATTTGGGAATTTCTACAGGGAAAGGCCTACAAATGGATTTTTTAAAACTCATTTCTGGCTCCCTTCTTAGGTCCCAGGCCATGGAGATGGAGTAGGTGAGAGGATTTAGATTCCAGTCAGAGAAGCAGACTGAATCCTGCAAGCCCAGCTTACCCTAAATAGTTACGGAGGAGAGAGAATGATGCGGGGACTTCCTGCCAGCAGCTTCTGGTTAAACCTCTTTGCCAAACAAATCCTCCTCCTGAGAACTGGCTGCCCATGCACACTGTAGAAACAGTGGGCTTTGTTATCCTCCGACCTGGACCTACTCACACCTCTGACTATGTAGGAGCCTGTAGTGTCCCCAGGGATGCCTGCCCGGGACTCTCTGTTCCCAGCCTCTCTCCCTATGTACTTTTAGACAGATCTTTTGTTTTGTCCAGACCTATGCCATCCACTCCCAGTCTGTGATGATGCCTGGACATGGAAGAAAGAAGAGGAATGTCCCCTTTGTTCCGCTCATCTGCAAAGGCAGCCTTGTAGCCCCCTCTTGATGCTGCTTAATGGGAGAGTTTCCTTTCCATGAAGGTGCCTTAGATGTTAGAGACAAACTCTGGGCATTGCTAGCTTTGGTTAACACCAAGCTAGATGACTCCATCACTCAAGAATTTAGCTGGATCCTTCTCTATTATGCTTACCCAGCCATCCAATAGAAGATCTGTGGTCTCCGGGAATTCCTCCTGTGGTAGGGGAAGTAAACACTCGTGAGGTTATTTTCAAGTGGATGACATGTTTTGTAGAAACATGCTCAAAGTCTCCTGGGAATGTAAAGACAGGATGACCACAGGCTGTGGATGGCCTCACAGGAAGAGCAAGAGCTGGCAGGCTGTGGAGGAGGGCTGGAGGAGAGAGGGCCTGAAACTGAGTAGTCATCCCTGATCCTTCATCTCCCAGGAGTGCCTTAGGTGAGCTAATGCGGTAACAGGAAAGAAACTGCTGTGTGTGTGTGTGTGTGTGTGTGTGTGTGTGTGTGTGTATGTGTGTGTGTGTGTGTGCAAAATAGCTGGCCATAGGATGCACCGGGTGGATCATACTGTGTGAATGACCTGAGTAGACGTGGGCCTTGAAGAGGAGGCTCAGGTGGGAAGCAGTTTGAAGACACGGAGCACAGGGCTCCAAAGGAGTGGGTGCCCAAGGCCTGGGGTTTGAGCCAGAGATGTAGATTTGACCAAATCTCTTAACATCCTGTGCCTTAGTAGCTGTCCCCACCACCACCTCCCTGCTCCATGGTGTCCTAAGGGACTCCCGAGAGCTGCTAAGCTTGAGAAGGTCCAACCCTGCCCGCACGTTAGCCAACGTGAGGGTGCTTGACATGCTCACACGCTGTCCACGCGTCTCACTTGGGCTGTGTGACCCATGAAAGAGCCCCTGAGCTTCTGCCCCATGGCTCCTGCTCCTGAAGACTGGAGTGTGAGAGGGATCTGGGGACAGCGTGTACACTTGCAGGAGAAGGTGGGACGCCTGTGACCCTAGCGTCTTATCCGTCGCTCAGAAAAAGCCAGCAGACAAAGAGGCAGAAGGTATCCAGCCAGAGGTGGGTTCCCACAGTAGTGTCATCTCCTGCTGGCTGTGCACTGCTGCAGCACCAGGCTGACCGGGCAGGATGTGGGTTTTTTGGTTTCTCTTTCTGTTTTGACATGTGCTGTTGCTGTGGCCTGCCTAGGCCCCAGGAAAGGGGAAGTACCCATGGGTAGGATTGAACTCTCCGGGACACATGCCATGGCGGTGCTAATGGTGGAGGATATGGAACATGCCTCATTAGGACTCTTTCCTCAAGGTGATAGGTAGGTGCCAGGGTGACCTTGGCCCCCTCCTCAGTCAGGCGGCTAGGAGAGGGGAGGGAGATGACAGTTGGGAGAGGGCTGAGGTTCCTGTTTATGGAGGAACTGGGGAGAGACAGGCAAGGCTGAGCATAGCAGCCTACGCACACACGCGCACACACACACACACACAGAGCGCATACCTTCACTTACCCTTGGGGACCAGGGAAAGAGATGACATGGGGACACATCTGTCCCCACAGCAATCTTAGCAGGGTACATTTTAGGTCCCTATCCTCAAACTTGTCAGCAGTCTGTTGCCTTACAGGTTGTTAGCTTAGGTGACAATAGGAGAGAATTTGCTTCCATTCAGAAGCCTCTGGGTAGCAGCACAAGTCTGCACCTCTGTGCTCTTCCCATCTGTGAGGGTGATGGTGCCACCTCTCAGCCAGCCCCCACATTATTGTCAGATTTTACGTGGCCACATGTGCTGGGCAAAGTCCTGTCTGGGAACCTGCATAGACAGCACTGTATCAAGGGGCGTGCAAAGGCAGCTCTGGTACCTTCACTTTGGAACAAAGTCTTCATGAAGTAAATGGTCAAGTCTTGCTAGTCTCGCTGCCAAGTCGGATTCTATCTACAGGGAAGCAGGAAGATTGTGTGTATCTCATTCGAGATAGACGATTTTTAAAGATCTGGGAATATAACTCAGTGGTCAAGTCCTTGCCTGGCATATACCAAGTCTTGAGTCCAATCCCCAGTCTTGTAAAAAGAAAAAAAAATGTCTTGGGAATATTACTGAGAGAATAGAATGTATGTTGCAAAAGGCCGTATGAAGTAAGATTCACATCAGCTTATAGCCAGTTCTTTCCGTAAAGGACCTCACCAATAGTCAGGGTATTAATGCCATGGGGTGAGAATGACAATAGTGGATTGCAGGTAAGGTTTGGGACTTTTCGTTGCTGTGTTTGTTTCTTGGCCATGGTCTCACTACGTAGCCCTGGCTGACATTGAACTTGGGGAATTTTTTCTGCCTAAGTCTTCTGAGTGCTGGGATTAAAGGGCTCAGCCTGGGTTGTGGGGGTACTTAGCACACTTTCTGCTTTCCTCTGTTTACTTGTGTGGAGTACTTAGTTCTCTAAATGCTAAACCAAATATCCTGTGTTACCTGCCTTCCCTGTGGCTCTTGACTGCACTCGCAAAGAGATGTCTCCGACCGCTCTCGAGGTACGCCTTGAAGCTTATGCTGGAGCTGGGTTCTAAAACGTTATTTCCTTTTAGGTTTCAAAGTGCCCATTCATTCATGTGTGCCACAAAATGCCCCTTAGTCCTAACCCCTCAAGACTATCCCCAGCGAACCATCCCAGCCTCTGATATCTGGACTGACCTGCCCTTAGCAGAAGGGATGGCATAAATGTCCTAGGAAAGGGACCTTTGTGACCTGTTACTGAGTACTTGGTCTTAGATCTACCTTTGGGTTGACCTGGTGGCTCAGCCCTGGGGGTAGATTAAGCTAATGATGGCTTCTTCTTTTATTCCCAGAGACTCCTGGAAGTTTCCAGCCAACCAGCCAAGAATTAGCTGAGCCTCGGGGTGAATGCTTGTTTATAACACTGAGAATGGCACCAAGGTCCAGTCTGATACCAAGACAAGGTTAAGCTGGGGCACAGTGGCACAGCGATCCTGATGTCTGTTCCCAGCCACACAGTCAAGGCTGTGTTAAGTGAGTATGCCCCAGACGTGTAGAGGGGGGGTCACTGGCTCTGTCTGCCTTCCCATTTGGCACCTCATCAGCATGGGTCAGGTCATAGGGTTCAAGTTCTCAGCCTGCTTCCTGTCCAAGGGCTTGTCACATGGCTACAGTTCTGGAATAGGAGGGGAATGCTGAGCAGTTTCAGGCCATGCCACTGTTAGAGCCATCTGGCTGGCAGGGATAAAACCATTCACTGGAGAGAGGGTATCTTCCCATGTTGTTTTTTTTCCTCAAGGGGCTCCTGGATGCTTTCGTGCAGACAGTGGAGGCTACGCCTTACCTAGAATCTGAATTCTGCCCCCATAGCATGAGAAGTTAATGTCCTTGCTCCGAAGGATTTGGGTAGAGCATCCAGGGCCTTAGGTACCATAAAGGTGACAGGGAGTCAGCAGGGCAAGTCGTCTCACTTTCTGCAGAGGTTCCTCAGTCCAGGCAAGCACTACATAGGGTGAGAGGCCTTGACTGCAGAGTGTACCTGTCCCCATCAGGCCTCTATCCTCAATGATGCTTTAAAGAATGACAATTGGATGTTCTCCCAAGTCTCAGAGGCCTGAAGGCCATTATGCCAGTGTAGAGGGATCAGGGACCAGAAAGGAGGAGGTTCCAATCGGGCAGGGCAGGCAGCTGACACTACGGCTATCTTGGCACTGGGGCCATCTTGATTGGACAGCCTCTAAAGAGGTCATGGGCTGGTCTCTTGAAGCCAGAGTTGTTTCCATACTGGTGAATGCAGGGAATGGGAACAGGGCAACTGGGTCATTTCTCAGCTGTAGATAAATCTCCACTCTCCTAGCTGTGGGTCAGAACCTATTTACCAGTCTGCTTATGCTTGCAAAGTCAGTGTGCTACTAACAGGTCATTTAAGGAGATGTTCTCAAGTTAACCTGCACTTGAAGGGGCCTGTGAGGAGGATGTGAGACCCACTCATCACATTGCACAGGTTCCCATGGCAATCTACACCACTAGTCTGAAGACTGTCACACCTTTGATCCAGGAGTTCCGCTTCTGGAATTACTCACGAAGAAGGCTTTCATGCCGGGCATGGGAACACATGCCTGTAAACCCTGACTTGGAGAGCAGAGACAGGCAGATACCTGGATAGAGTCTCGGCTACATAGCAAGACCCCATCTGGGCTGGGGAAGGAGAGAGAAGGCAGGAAGGAAGAAAAGAAAGAGAACCAGAAAACTATCTGAATGCTAGGGCACATATCTTTAATTGAGGGCCAAGAGGATACGTAGTTTGAGTCCAGCTTTGAATCAATGAGACTGAAATAAAAATGGTGGAAGGAAGGAAGGAAGGAGGGGAGGGGAGGGGATAGATGGGTCTTTTATTATGAAATAGTCTCAAGAAGAAAAATGACTACATTTCTTTTGTTACAGACATAAAAGGTATTTCTGTGGTGTTCTCTGTAATAGGGAAAATGGAAAACAATTATTACCTTTGTTGAATATCTTAGTCAAGTAAATTATAGTTTTCCGCTCGGCGGGGTATTATATAGCTATTGTAAGGATGAGCATAGAGGCTGTAGAACTTGGAAGAAGATGGTTCTTATCTGTGTGAAAGTGGTAGTAACAGACTGTGCCTCACAGCGACTTATAAAGTGCACCTGGGGAAGGTCGCAAAGGGGAAGAGACACTGGCTCTGTGACTTCAGTTTCGTTATGAATGCTCTCCCTTTCTGTGGTGCCAGGGCAGGCTTCTTTCACAACAGTTTAAACAGAAGGCACCATTAATAGCGACTTTCTCTAAGAGGTGGAAGGGGGGTATCTTTTGGTTGCTAAGTCAGTTCTTTCTATAACATTTACATTGTAGCTGTGAGCACGTTACTTTAGTAATTGAAAAAATATATATTATTAAATTTTAGAATTAAACATTTAAAGTTTAAAAAACCATATTTCCCAAAGAGAGGAGAGGAGAAAGGCTGAGCTAGCTAGTTCTCTGTACCCATTCTCACCGTGCTTCAGACCTTGGGTATGTTTGGGCCTAGGTGTCCATCTATCCACACATCTATATAGTCACTCATCTATCCCAGGCCCTGTCAGGCATCATTGCTAGGCCTCGGTGAAGAAAACAAAACCTCATCCCTTACAGGGACTTCACTGCAATTGGAGCAAGGCCATAAACAGAAAGCTACACAGACAATAAGATGGGATGATCTGAATGATAAAAAGTCCGACTGTGATTGGGGGCTCAGGGAAGGTCTCAGAGAGCTGACAGCTGGTTGAGACCCGAGTGACAACAGAGAGGCAGCCACATGGAAGTCTATCAGGAGCATTCTAGACAGTGCACAGGATGCTGAGCCTGTGGCCTCCAACCTGCTATTTGCTCGTTGCTTCTGAGGCCCAGCAAATCTCTGGACCAGGACAGACTCCATTTTCCAGGCCCTCCCATTCCCCTGAACACTCCCACCTCCATCCTTCCCATCTGGGATGTGCTCAGTATCTGAATCCTTCCAAAGCCTTGTGTGAGGAGGCTGTTTCTGACACCCTGGCTGTTGTTGGACAGATGGCTTCTCTGGACATCCTGTACACAGGCCACTGTTCTTGGCTGGCATTTCCAGAGCAGGGCTGAGCTGTCTCAGGTTCCATACCAGAGTGGATTGGCAGTTAGGAAAGCACTAGGTAATGTGCCCTGGCAAAGGGTCTTTAAATGGCTCATGGCTTGAGGCTCTGAGGGGTGGCTGCTGCCACAGTCTGTGAGGGTTAGCTATGACCTTGGAGTACTTATGCGTGACTCCTGCCAGAATGTGGTCTGAGAAATAGACAAGGAGCCTGTGATATGCCTAACACTTAGTTCTGAGCGTGCTGGACGGTCCAGTAAGAAGCACACATGCATTTCCATGAATCTTCTTGACCCTCTGGGTGCCACCTTAGTATCTAGAGACAGCACCTTGGAAGATGCACCTCAGACGAGCCTGTAGCCAGCCTTGGGAGCACAGGCTGCTGACTAGGGTTGAAGACCCTGGAGCCACACTTATGAGGGTTTAATTCCTAGTCCAGCCATTTAGACCTGTGAGAACATTCTCTAATTATTTAGCCTCCTTCTGCCTCTTTTTTTCCCCTCTGTAAAATGGGCTTCAGAATTCTCTGAGTTAAAACAAAGAAAGTGCTGGGAAGAACATCTGGTATTTATTGTCACTTGGAAGGTAAGGGGACTACCTCATCCAGCTCTTCGGTGTCACTGATCTCAGAGGCCTGTCAAGAGAAAGGAGTAGGCATTGGTAGCATCTGACCTAGCCATTTGGCCCATTGTGACCCTGAAGCATATTGTTTTCCTTCCTCTGCCTTGATGACAAGGGAAGCCCATGACCATTTCGGATCTGATAACAGCTCAGATGTAGAATGGCTGTCGCCCATCCCGCCACCCACCCTTGACTCCTCTGACCTTCAATACCAATCCTGCTAGGGACAGAACTCAAGGTCTTGCCCAGGGATCTCCTGGATGGGCTGTGCGGCTCCTCAGAGCATGGGATGGTAGCGATGTGGGTGCTTGGGTGTGTAAGAAGCAAAGCTCAGGAAGAGAATGGGATGCCAAGCCTAGCAAGATGTTCCCCTGGGCAGAAATCCCCAGAGCTATTCCACTGCAGCATCCTAGCTTCCCGGAATAAAACCAGAATTTACAGGAAAACCAAAGGCAGCCCTTCCATCTGGCTTTGCCTATCCTGGTCTCTTACGGCCGATTCACCTGTCTCAGTTGCCCATTCCGTGTGATGCTACCCTGTGGTGGAGCTCAACAGACTGAGCTGTTCCTAGGAACAGGATGCAAGAAGCCAGCTGCCTTGATCCCACCACTAGTTCCCTCATGCTGGCAATCACTTGAGTTTTTACCCTTCTCAGGGACACTGTGTTCTTTGGCCAACAAAGACCAACAAAAGCAGGATGAACCATCCACACTCTCCAAATCCCACCCCCCAGGCTTCCAATCCTGGCCACACTCTCCTCTGTGCCACCCTGATTACCTTTGGGCTGTCTCATCTTTGCCGTGGTCCTTAGAATGCTGGTGTTTATCACCAGGAGAACGAGGCCACTGTCCACGGAGCTTTGGCTCCTGCTGTAGACTTTCCCAGGGCTCTGATTCCAGAGCTGAGCAAGGAGTTATTGGAAGGGGTGTAAGGGTAAAGGAGGCCAGGTGGAGGGAGGGAAGAACAGAGTGGGCCTGTTGGACCCAGGAGAAGGTGGGATGAGCCTGTCCTAGAAACAAACTCAAGCACAGCACCTAGGTGATAAGAAATGGGAGTTGAGACCAACGTTTTGAAATGTTCCCAGGTCAGTGTTCTCTCTAGCATCTGAGCACACCCCAACCCAAAAGACTCTCCTATTCCTTTGTTTTCAGCCCTGTCTTCTGCCCCAGCCAGGTCTTTCAGTTGCCCACGTTCACCCTGCGTGAACCGGCTGTATTCTCCTGCCACCGCTCCTTGGACAAGGTCTGACCTTGCCTAGGTATGCTTCCCCTCCATCTGCCCAAGTGCCTCCTGCTGACAAAAAATGGAACCGTGCCTGGGGCTCCCTCTGTCCCCTGTCATGTCCTCCTGCCTTTTTTCCTGAGCTGGCCCCTTTTGTCCTAGGTCCCTCCTTTCTTTCTTCATTCTTTCTTCTGCTGATAAAATTTTGAGGCCCAGCTCTTTGGTCACCTGGGAAAGCTAGGGCTGGTGGGCCCCAGCTGAGAAACTATTCTTGGCCAATCAGAGACAAGTAGAACAGGATTTAGAGTCAACGTGAAGAAGGGGGAGGATTGGGTTGGGGAAGGAGTACAGTAGCAGGACACTTGCCTAGCATGTACACGGTCCTGGGTTTGATCCCCAGCAACACACACACACACACACTCACACACTCACACACTCACACACTCATACACATACACACATACATACACTCACTCTCACACACATACACACACTCACACACATACACACAATATTCTTTCTCTTTCTCATAAACACACACTAATACACATACACACATTCACACACA